TTAATTTAACTCTAAATTAATAAAATTTAACATGATTTTCAAACACTAAAATTTAGTTGAAAAAATCAATTTTGTCCCTTACAAGCAACGTAAAAACCTACTTTAAATTTTAATTTCTTACTTTATATTATAATATTTTTAGTTCCTTACCTTATTAGATTTATAGGTTTTAGCTCCGCACCTATTAAAATAAAAAAAAATAACCCTCATTTTATACTGACGGTTAATTTTATTAATTGAAAGTAGATTTTTGTCAATTAATAGTCAACTAATAACTAGTTAACAGAATTAACAAAATATTATAAAATTAATTTTGTTAATTCTGTTTAGTTAAAAAAAGTATTTATCAACTAACAATTAACTAACAGCCAATTAATAAAATTAACAAACAGTTAATATAACTAATAAAATGTTACAAAATAAAAATTATTTTTTTCAATTTTAAAAGATGATGGGCTAAAAATGTCATAATATAAGGTGATGATTAAAATCTACAAATCTAATAAGATAAATAATGTAATATGCGTAAGGAAAAAAAAAAAGATAAATGATGTGATATAAATTTTATTAATTTATATTTAAAATTTTTTAATTTATATTTTTAAGGTATAAATTAAAAATATAATTAATATACCTTTTAATAATTAATGAATATAAAAAATCAAAAAATTATTATTAATTTTAATATTAATGTCACATATTAATTTAATTTTTTTTTAAAAACAATTTTATAAGAACTTCGATTTGAATTATTGCTCGGAAGATAGGGGATGCACTTAACATTTAAAAAAGCATATGTTGGGTGGAGGGAGCAGAGGCGAGTGCTCCTAGCACTGCCCAAAAGCAAATGTCCACCAATTTCACAATATAATATAATATAATTTAAATTATAAAATAAAATTTTTATTTAAACTACACAATATTTCTATATTCTCTCAGAAATGTTTGATTATTTCCACGGAGGATGGGGAGGGGAAAGCGAGGTTAGGATTTGAGGCTGTATATTCTGGTCTGATTTAAATGTCTATTTAATTTGAAGAGCAACCACCATAATTGAATCTCAGAAATACCTGACAACCTGAGGCAAATTTTCTGTCCCTCCACGTGAATCTACAGTAGCATGTCTCCCAGAATCTTGCTGACGCACTTAAACGCGAGAAAAGGAACGGTGAGGATGAGAGATCAGGAAATTCTAGGGTTTTGGGGAATTCTTGTATAAATACTTTCTGTTAGTAGGAGGATTTAGGCAGAGAGAGGGGCAATCAGATAGCAAAAAAAAGAGGGGGGCAGTAGAGAGAGAGATCGGAGAAGGCGAATTCCGGCAGTGTCTCCGGCTAGATTCTGGTGCTTCTCTTTTTTGTTTTCCTGCTTTGGATCAAGGTATACACCCTATCCGAGAGCATAAGGGTGTTTCTAGCGGTTTGGTCTCCGGTACTATCCCAAAATTGGGTACTGACCGCCCCCAAGAAACAACCCTTATGTGATAAAATCTTCGAGTTGTCTGTGTGGCTGATGCTTGTTTTGAGTTACAGATCTGTATGATGCACACTGTTGGTTTCAAACAAATGGAATTGATCTGCATTATTATGTGTTAACTATCTTGTAATTATGATTGGAGTCGGAGATTATTATTATATCTA